CAACAAAAACAACAGCAACCACTAAGCAATAATATTATTAAAAATGAACCTGCAGAAATTGATTATGATCCTTTTTTTCTGCGTGAAGTACAATCTCAAATGATATACGCGATTGAACGTATTTCTGAAAGAATGGATCCATCGTGTTATTTCAATTTCAACGGATTTGATAGCAGTTTGCAAACTATACCAATGGATAAATTTCCTAATGTGAAAAATGGGTATACTTTAAGTCTTTGGGTGAAGGTTACTGCATTTCTAGAGAATGAAATTGGATTATTGTGTTATGAAGATTTAACGGGTGCCAATACAACATTCGAACTTTATTTCAAGAAAATTGACCAGCCATATAGGTATTGTTTATGTGTAAAAACACAACAATTTCCGTTACCACCCGAGGACTTTGTATTTGATGGATTTTCTTTTCAGCAAACCCTCGTTTGGCATCATATTGTTTTCGTGCATTCGAAAGATGGAACTTCTTTGATTGTTGATGGTTCTTCTATGCAATCTTATGATATGTTTAATTCTCCAAAGGCGATGGGGAAAGAGAAAATAGTAGCAGTCGTGGGACGTCGTGGTAAGAAAATGTCATTAAATAATAATAACAATGATAATAACGGTGACAATGTACAACCGATACCTCCATCAATACCACCAATGCCAATATCACCTAATGGATATTTTCACGGACAAATTGCATCGATTTATTTTTTCAGAGGGCTCTGGGATGAAACAATTGCGGAAAAGGTTTTTAATCAAGGACCAGCATATTCAAAAAATTATCGTGTTCTAGGAATCGAGAACAAAGAATTTATTTCAGTTCACCCGCAATCTTATTTAAGTATTGAACAAAAATTGATATTGGAGCCAGAAAAATCAAGAAGAAATTCGGATTCAATTGATTTTACAAAAATAACCGGAAAGTTAGAGGGCGGGTGTACAGTGCATGTAACACGATCTATGCGGGACATTATTGAACAATTTGGAAAAGTAGAACAATGTTTTCGATTTTTAGAATTAGATTCACGACATCAGTTGATTGGGCTTCGTACCATATCCAATCTACTTTATAAAAGTCCACAAAACATGGCAAAGTTTACCGAGAACAATGGATTTTCAACATTACGAAAATTATTGGGCAATTCTAATAATAATGAATTGAGCATTGAACATTTTAATGTGTTGATGGACATTGCAAGTGATGGGATAACAAGAAATGATCAAATGGTTATAGTTAATACAGAATGTTTAAGAGTGATTGTTGAACTTTTAGGCAGCTGTTGTAAAGAGGATGTTCAATTGCCAGTTATAAGAATGTTGGTTGATATGCTAGTAGAGGTTCCAAATAATCTCAAGATTTGGCGCACGAATCTCGGAGTGGAAACATTACTTGAACTGTTAGACAATCTTTCCTGTTCTCTTGAACCTTTTATAATGCGAGTAATTGAATCAATGATGTCAGAAATCACCACAGAAGAGCTAAACAAATTATTCAATTATATTGAATGCGGTGATGGTAAATGGGTAAATTTGGATATTAAATATGACATTGTCGAGATAATTTATAAAAATATGACGCATGATAGTCAGCTTGTGGAAAGGATACGTGTATTGAAAGGGATATCACTTTTGACACCGCTTCTTGAAGCTCCAAATGAAAAATTCTGTATAATTATATTGAAGATGATTGGTATCTTAATGAGTTCCAATATTAAACATAGCAAGGCATTATTAACAAGAGTTAACAATGGTTTTGACGTTATGTTTTCATATTTAGCAGGGCACGAGCTTTCTTTAGAGTTTACACAAGTTTTGATTGGAGTGGGGACTAATTATTACCAAAATGATCCTAAATTCAAGAATGGTTTTTTGACAACATTAGATCGGCCAATTTTTAAAAGAAGCTCGCAACGTAGCTCAGTAGATAGTATAAGAACAATTAGTAATAATGATAATAATAAATCGTCAGATGAATTGATATATCCCGAAATGGTTCGCTTACTATTTGATTTAATTAAACTTTCCAGGAATTCAGAGTTGGTCTTCCAAGCGTTGACAGATGTAAAAAGATTGTTGACGCCTATTAATATGCGCATATTATGGGAACAGAATTGGCTGGAATGGATAATAGGATTTGTGAGTGTGCGTAGTGGTATGACGGTGACGGAGGGAACAACACATTATCGTCATCAAAGTATTCTTACAATTATCGACACAATAGTTCAAAAAATGATGATTTTTGACATTAGCAGAAAGAATTCCATTACGTCGAAGACCAAAGGTGCTTTATTGGTTTCTTCAAGTTCTAGTAATAATAGTTATTACGAAAATTTTACGCTTAGAATAATGGATATTACTATTTCATATTTTGATAAAAATCCAAATGTTAATGTTAGTACAAACACTTCAAACATTATTTTTAGAAATTTAGGAATTCTATATAAATACTTGGATGAACATATTTGTAAAGTTTTATCATCATCGCCATCGTCAGCATCATCAGCATCCTCAATATCATCATCACATTCTAAATCCTCGTCATATAATCAAGAAAACAATAATAATGAAAATAATAACGAAAACAATAATAACAACTACAATAATATTGACATTGAAAATCCCCAATTAGCTATTGCTTCGCTACCAAACTTTATGGTTAGATCATCATCGTCTACAAATCTCCATAATGTGATATCAAATCAACAACTAGAACAACAAGTTATTATTACAGCAACTTCTGTTAGACGTCATTTTGCAAGTACAATAAACATTCTTGCATATCATAACAATTCAACAATACGAACTAGCATGAAATCATCAGGTTTATTTAAAATAAGGGATAATCTAATTAAAGATTATAACGACTTAGCACCTATAGATGGAAATGAATTTATATAAGTTTTAAATTTTTTGTTAAATGTTAGATTTATTGATTTATTAAATTTTTTTTTTCTGAACAATGATATATTTATTACATATTTAATTATTTAATCATTAATTATAAATTAGCATTCTTTAGCTTTGTTTTTCATCTCTTTTTTTTTTAATTATTTATTTTTATTGTTTTTTTTTCTTTGAATAATGAAAATCCCATTTGTATATTTTTATAATAATATCTTAATTTTTAATAATTAATTAACTAAAATAAACTTAAAATCATAAATTTCTTATACTCTACTAAATTTTAGTTTTACTGCTAAATCTGGATATTCTCTCCTAATCCAATCTATAATATGAAATTGATCTTTACCTCTAGATTTATCATGCAAAAAAGATAATAAAGGTCTTACAGTTTTCTCTTCCGGTACGAATCCATCTTGTTGTAATTCATACATTAATGCACGTTTTGCTTCTGTAAATTGATTGGTACGTGATAATGCTTCTATGTATGAATTATAGTTATTTATGGAGAATTTAAACCTCCTGTCTTTTAAGTAATCCCATATTTCTTTGATTTTATAAGTGATGTAACAATAACCACAAGTATCTAAAACTATCGAAACAGTTTTATCATCAATTGGATGTTCAGACAATACCAGCAAATCCCATAATTGAATAACCTGATAACCATATCCACATCTATTATATGCTTCCATCAATGCATTATAAATTATTAAATCGAATTCTACATCAAGATTCATTTTAAGTAGATTGTGAAAGTTCACCACACCATCATAATCATAAGTTTTACCTAGTCCTTTTATTAGAGCGCTGTAAGTATAAGAATTTGGCTTGACATCAAGTCGTCTCATGTCAACAAAAATTCTTTGAGCCTCGGACATGTGATTAATATTGGCAAAGGAGTCTAGTATAATGTTATAACTTCTTGTATTCAAACCACATTTCGATCTAGCCTCATAGTAGACTTGCAATGATTCTTCAATCCTTTTTGATTTAATTAAATGCTCAATCAATTTTGTGTAAGTTTCAGTGTCTATCGAACTATTCAATTTATTTACCAATATATCGTAAAATTCTATTAAACTATCATTATCATTAATAGACATATAATGATATAGCAACAGAGTTCCTATTTTTTCATCAATTTCTATTCCATGATTATTTTTAACCTCATTTAAAAAATCTTTTATTTGTGATGGATTCTTATCAAAACCTCTAAAAATCCTCTTTATTGTGTCATAATAAACGTCTGTGGTTCCTTGCTCCTTTGCAACCTGTACTTCATTTTTAAATATTTCAATTGATGATTTTATTTCACCTTCTTTAAATAATAATGGTATTATAACCCCGGAATCTTTATTCGGATTTATATTTGATTCAATCATTTTTTTATAAATTGAATATGCGTTCTTTGAATCATCGTTATCCAACCACATGTTAAACATCATGTCATATGTCGTGTGATTTGGTTGAATGTTATTTTTTAGCATTGATTCATAAAAATGCATGGCCTTTTGAATATTATTTTCCTGAATGCTTAGATAGATAACATTATTATAAGTTAACAAATCTAATTGGTGATTGGTGCCATCATCATTATCGATATTACTTGAGCGTAATATTCTTTTATAAATTACAAGAGCTTTGTTGATGTCGCCCAATCCCATATATTGATTGATCATTAGATACGATGTTTTTTCAAGCGGTTCCATTATGTTTACGATCATCTCGTCATAAAGTTTTTCCATTTGCTTGACATCACCTTTTAGTTGAAACAACTCGATGAGATCATGATAATGATGAGCAACAGGTTGAAATTTTTCATGATTTTTCATATCCACAAAAACTATCATTGCACCATCAGAATTTAACGTTTGTTTGAAAGCATTTATCAATAAACTGTAAGCATCTAAATAAGCATCAACGTGAACGATTTCGTATCCACTATGCTTCAACGATTCAAAGAGTCTCCAAGCCTCCCAAGGCTTATTATGAAGTTTGTTTGCATACATAAGTGAAGTATATATAGATAATTTAGTTTGAATGTTTAAGGTTTTCATATCTTCTACCATTTTATACAAAATTGGTAAATGTTCATCTAAATTTGACCTACTTATATAATCGATTGCTTTGTTATAATCTTTAAATTTTAATTCTTGTTTTTGCTCGCTATCAAATAGTTCTTGGTATGTTTTAATTATTTCTGGAATGTTACCAGCCTTGATAGCCTTTCGAAAATTTTCGTAGTAATTTAATTGTTGTTCAGTTGTATTCGTTTTAGCTGTGTTAATGGTTGTATTAGTTGCAGTTGTAAGGTTTGTTGCTCGAGTGTCAGTCGTATAAAATAACAAACCTTGTATTTGAATTTGATACTTTTTTCTAATAGTTGTTGTAGTACCTTGTAATAATGCATTATTAGAACAAAATATCAATTTCAAACCTATATTATTCTTTAATGGATAGATTATAAGTCTTAATTTTCTTGATATATTAGTTATATTAATATTATTAGATGTTCTAAAAAATTTAAACATTTGTTTTATTTATTTATTTTATTTTTTCCTCAAAATCTTTATCAAAATTTTCGGATAATCTCAATTTTCATTTTTAGGTAATTCACGTGACAAAAGAACATTAAATTTTTAGGAACCCATGCTGATGTAAATTTCTGTTTTCATTAGCTAAATTCTTGTAAATTATCATGATCTGCTTGTTGATTGACATTTATTTCTTGCTCAATTATTTGCTTCCCCAATTCAATGGCTCTTCCATTTTCTTGATTGATTAAATTTTCATCTTAATCTTATATAAGATTTTATTAAATAACCTGTTTCTTCTTTGGGCACTCTCACTATCTAATTGTCTCTATATCAGTCATATTACGTGAGCATGCTCTTGCTCAGGAGCTAATTCTTCTCTAAAATTTCAATATCCTGGTGAGCCAAATTTATATGCTCATTTTCTTCAAAGCTCCCTTATTTGCTACTTTGTCTGTGTTACCGGAATTAGATTTTGACGCAGATCTTTTGGTCGAATCTCTATTTTTATTTTCATTATTTTTATTTCATTATTTTTATTTTTACTAATTCTATTTATTTATTAATAACGTGTATAATTATTTATTATCCTTTGAATTCGTGTTACGTTCCGTCTATTTAATTGTTATCAATTAATCCGTAGCACGTTCATATTATTTAGTAGAGATTAATGACGATTATCCCAGACCGGAATCACCCAATTCATCAACAGAGTTGCGACCTGGTCACAGAGCCATCCTTACCCTAGAGGTAGGATCGTTGCAGGCAACTTTTCGGCTAGCATGCCAGCAGCCTTTTTTGGTCTGGATGCTATGAGGGAAGATTAGTGAAAAGCATCCTTGACGATTGATGCAGTCTTGATGTAGCTCCAGGGTAGAGCGACCCCCCTGGAATTCTGTTGCATCATCATATCATCGGGCATCGCAAGTCAGATTAGCCTTATGTACATGAGGAATATGTGTGTGAATGACTGTAAAGTGTTCAAGGCAGCATGCGTGCTTCAACACCTGCCAATTTCCAATAATTAAACATTGCATATTGAAATGTTTCTTTTTCAATGGTGTGCTGCCTTGATATATTATAATTATAATAATAGTAATATTATTAACGATTACGCAAAGCAAAATACCAATTGTTCATTCATTATCATCTTGATGAGGATCTTATAATTACCCAGCAAGATCTGCTCTGTGTTTTGATTCCAATTAAAATATTTATAAAAATATCAATACAAAGAAAAAAAGTATCTCTGGTTAGTTATTAACATGTTTTCTTTAGGATACCTAAACCAAACCAAACAACAACACTCATGTTTTGTCACCTTGGACTCTGTCAAAAATAAATTGTTTTTCCAAAAAAAAAAATCAATTCATGAGCATGGTTAAAAATCCGTTTATGGATAGATCTGCAAGTCACGATTACTATTGATATTTCAAAAAAAGATCTACATTTAAATGTGTAAATCGAAAAAGGGACCTATTATAAA